CCGGAGACCTCCCCAGCTTTGCTGTGGACGGGGAAGGTTGGCGATGCGTCTGCGTTCCGTGTCTGGGGATCTCGGGCGTTTGTCCGCGACTTGTCTGCGGACAAGCTGTCCCCTCGTGCTGCTCCTTGCGTCTTCCTTGGCTTCCCCCCTGACGCGCCAGGGTGGCAGTTCTACCACCCCACCTCTCGCCGTGTTTTGTCCTCCCAGGACGTCACGTTTGACGAGTCGGTCCCCTACTACCGCCTCTTCCCCTACCGCACTCCGTCCCTCCCCCCGCCACCGCTCTTCCTTGTGCCAGGTCCCCCCCCGGTAGACCCCCTCCCCCCTTAGGGTCCTGCCCCTTCAGGTGTGTCTCAGGCAGACGCAGTCGAGCCTGTTAAGTTTGCTGGTGACTCTGGTGCTGCTGAGGGTGCTGAGCCTGGGGGTGCTGACTCTGGGGGTGCTGAGCGTGTGGGTGCTACGCCTGGGGGTGCTGAGCCTGAGGGTGCTACTACTGGGGGTGCTGAGCCTGGGGATGCTGAGCCTGGGGGTGCTGAGCCTGGGGGTGCTACGACTGGGGGTGCTGGGCCTGGGGGTGCTACGCCTGGAGGTGCGGAGCCTAAGGGTGCTGGGCCTGCTCGTGTCGCGTCTGGAGGTACTGTGCCTGGAGGTGCTCCGGGTGCTTCGTCTCGGCGGGAGCCACTCTCTCCACAGGAGCTGCGCGAGTGGTTTGCCCGGCGCTGGAGCCGTGCTGCTGGAGCTGGAGTTTCTTCGGGTACTGAGGGTGCTGGTATCGCGGGTCCCGGAGGTGCTCGTACTGGGAGTACTGGAGCTGCTGGGCCTGCGGGTACGACTGGAGCTGGAGCTGCTGAGGGTGTTGGCGGTGAGGCTGCTGCTGTCGGTCCTGGAGGCGGTCCTGCTGGGGGTGCTACTAGTGCTGCTAGAGGTCCTGGAGCTACTGGAGTTACTGGGGGTGCTGGAGCTGGAGGTGCTGCTGGCGCTGGTGCTACCACTAAGGGTACTGGTGCTGTCCCTACTGTGTCTGGTGTCGCCGCGCGTCCTCGGCCGTACTTCATTCCGCTCCTTCAGCAAGTTCTTGGTCTTCCGCCTTCTACTGGTCCTCCTCCTCCCTTAGAGTGTCCACAGCCTGTCCCGTCACAAGTACAATTCCAGCCGGCCTCCCCACTGCCTGCTCCTTCTCCCTACACTGGTCCTACTGGAGGTCTTGCTGAGCGTCGTGAGCCTGCGTCTCGCCCTGCGTCGCCTGTCCGTCCTGCTTGCACTAGTGGTCGTGGTTCGCGTCAGCGTCCTCCTCCTGTCCCTGGCACGCACCGGATGTCTCTACGTCCGTCCACTGCTCCTCTGCGTGCCCCTTTGCCTTCTCCTCCTGAGTCCTCTCGTCCTGCTCTTGCCGACCCGGAGTCGGACTCTCTTCGTGCTGCCAGTCCTATTGTCATGCGTCTCCTTGCTACTGTCGTCACTAACCCTTCCTTTGAGTCCGCTGCTGCGTCTGCCCTAGTTGCTGAGCTCGTCGACTTTGCTGCTCGCTGTCGTATAGACTACGCTGCTAGTCTTGTCGCTGAGTCTGAGTCTGTCTGTCCTCCGTCCGTCGGAGGTGAGTGTGCCCTTGGCACGGACGTCCTTGAGGACAGACAGGAGGAGTTCCAGTGTTTGGCTGCTGCTTCACCTCATCTCGTGTCCGTACTTCTTACCCCAGAGGGAGCCCGGATGCACTTGACATCCCGACTCCGCGCTCTTACGCGGAGGCGATAGAGGGTCCCTACTCCTCTCAGTCGCAGGGAGCTATGGACACAAAGATGGCTTCGTGGAAGTCCACAGGCACCTACGTTGACGAGGTTCCCCTGCTTGGGGCTAACATCGTTAGTGGCATGTGGATTTTCAGGTTGAAGCGGCCGCCGGGTTCTCCGCCTGTCTTCAAGGCGCGTTACGTGGCTCGTGGCTTCAGTCAACGGCAGGGAGTTGACTACTTTCAGACCTTCTCTCCCACCCCAAAGATGACCACTCTTCGGGTAGTGCTGCACATAGCTGCTCACTGTGACTACGAGCTGCACTCTCTTGACTTCAGCACTGCTTTCTTGCAGGGCAGCCTGCACGAGGAGATCTGGCTGCGTCGCCCACCTAGCTTCACTAGGTCTTTTCCTCCTGGCACCCAGTGGAGCCTTCGGCGGCCAGTCTACGATCTCCGCCAGGCACCGCGTGAGTGGCACAACACACTGAGGACTACACTTGCGGCTCTTGGGTTTGCTCCCTCTACTGCGGATCCGTCGCTCTTTCTGCGCACCGACACCTCTTTGCCGCCGTTCTACATCCTCGTGTACGTCGACGACTTGGTCTTTGCCACAGCTGACACTGCTGGACTCGCCCACGTGAAGTCCAAGCTGCAGAAGAGACACACGTGCACAGACCTGGGTGAACTGCGCAGCTACCTTGGCCTACAGATCACCCAGGACAGAGCACGCCGCACCATTACCCTGACTCAATGACACATGGTGCAGCAGGTCCTTCAGCGCTTCGGCTTCACGTACTCCTCGCCTCAGGCCACTCCTCTGCCTACTCCCCACTTGCTCTCAGCTCCGCCTTCGGATGAGTCCGTAGAGTCGAGTGGCCCGTACCCAGAGCTTGTTGGCTGCCTCATGTACCTGACGACCTGCACACGACCTGACCTTGCATACCCTCTTAGCATTCTCGCACGCTATGTTGCTCCTGGGAGACACAGACCGGAGCACATGGCTGCAGCGAAGAGGGTGTTGCGCTACTTGTGCAGTACGTCGGGCATGGGGCTTGTGCTTGGAGGGCAGAGTCCGGTGGTCCTCACTGGGCACGCAGACGCTTCTTGGGCTGACGACTAGGCTACGCAGCAGTCGTCACAAGGTTACACCTTCAGCCTTGGTTCCGGCTCTGTTTCGTGGCGGGCTACCCGCTCGTCTTCTGTTCTCGGCTCCAGTTGTGAGGCTGAGATCTACGCCAGGACCATGGCTGCACAGGAGCTTCTCTGGCTCACCTACCTGTTGACTGACCTCGGAGAGCCGCCTCGTTCTCCTCCAGTGCTGTACGTAGACAACAAGGCCATGCTGGCCTTGTGTCGAGAGCAGAGAATGGAGCACAGAACGAAGCACATTGCTCTCCGCTACTTCTTTGCTCGTGAGCTACAGCAGCGTGGTCAGCTGCGCCTTGCGTACGTGGCCTCTGAGGCCAACATTGCTGATATTTTCACCAAGTCACTTGCACCTTGTGATCATCAGCGCTTCTGTACTCAGCTGGGTCTTGTGCCTACCTTGCCTCACTTGCTCACCCCTTGACCTTGTTTGTACTGTTGCATATATATATATATATATATATACATCTGCTCTTGCTTGTCTAGCCTTATATATATATGTGTAATCCTGCATGTGAACTGGCCTTGTGGCCTTGAACTTGTGCTCGGAATGTGTGGTGACTTTGTGATCCACCCTGAGCTGCTTTGCTTTGCTTGACTGGTCTTGTGACCCCTTGTTCTCCCCCACTTTGCCTATGGGGGTGTGTCAGATTTATATGACATAGCTACTGTAGGCTATAGTGGGGTAGCACATATGGGGTACAGCTTTCTAGGGTTTGTACTTGTACCCAACTTTCCCTTAGTCATTTCATTCTTGTTCAGTTTCTCACAAAATGGGTCACTTCATACCGACCAACACCACAGCTACAGCTGAAGCAACTGCTCGCCTCTTCTTCGACCGCATCATCACCATCCACGGCATCCCCGCTACACTCATCTCAGACAGAGACCCAAAACTCACCAGTAAGTTCTGGAAGGAGCTCATGGGATTGTTGGGGACAAAGCTTGCAATGTCTTAAGCATACCACCCCCAGACTGACGGACAGACAGAGCAACTCAATCAAGTGGTTGAACAGTTACTACGCACAGCTTGCAAGGACGATGTCAGCCAATGGGACACACTGTTACCGACCCTAGAGTTCGCTTACAACAACGCATCACATGCGGCCACAGGGAAAACTCCTTTCTTCCTGTATTACGGACGGGAACCATTCACACCACAGCAGCCAACCACACCGGCACACGTCCAAGCAGCACATGACTTCGTCACCACCATGGAGCAGCTATGGGAGAAGACTCAACGACGACTCACCACGATGCAGACCTCCCAGAAGCAGTATGCCGATCGTCAGCGACGAGATCACTCAGTAGCAGTCGGAGATCAGGTGCTTCTTGACACGCGCAACTTGAATCTGTCTCACCTCCCATCCAAACTCTGGCCTCGCTTCTGTGGTCCTTTTCTCGTTGAGGCACAGGTGACACCAGTTACATTCCGCTTGCGCTTACCAGATACATGGAAGCTTCACAACGCTTTCCATGTTCAGCTACTGAAGCCCTACAAGGACCCCAACCAACAGTTCCAGGGACGGCAGCTACCGCCACCACCACCGGTTCTTGTACAGGATGAACCAGAGTACGAAGTGGAGCGCGTTCTCACTCATCAGCGCCGCGGCGGCAAGACCCTCGAGTTCCCGATACGCTGGAAGGGATACGACCCTACTGAGGACAGTTGGGTTGCAGAAGCATATATGGGCAACGCACGCCGTGCTCTCAAGGACTATCTTGTCAAGCAGGGTGTATCTCACGCCACCCAGCTTTGAGGGGGGGACGTGTGAGTGTACGACGGCTTATGCCAGCTATGCTTGCTTGCCTTTACTTTATCATGCTATTTCTAGCATACGATAATTATATGCATGCATGAATTGCTTGATTTCCTAGGCTAGGTGCTTTCCTATATTTTATTATAGTTATAGCACCGAGCTAGGTTGCGTGCACCGAATTCTGGCTTTTCGGTTGCCACCGAATTGCCTTCTACCGAACTCGGGAAGGATCTGTTCGGGACGCTTCGCGACCCACGGAACCTTCGCATAACACCTGGTTACTGGGCCTTGTGTCGAGCCTATATATAGCCTCCCGTTTTACCCAGTTGATCATTCAATTACAATTCTCTTTTTTGAGCTCGATCCTAGATCCTCACAGCAAGGGGGGCAAGGGCGCTGGAGGGGCTGGCGGGGGCAGTGGAGGTGGCGGTGGAGGCGGCGGAGGGAGTGGGGGTGGCGGTGGGAGTGGTGGCGGGGGTGGGGGCTTCGGTGGCGGCGGTGGAGGCGGAGGCGGCGGCGGGAGCGGAGGAGGAGGCGGTGGCGGCGGTGGCGGAGGTGGCGGCGGCGGAGGTGGAGCTGGTCCGGGTGGCTCTGCGCAGCGGGGCCGCTTCGGTGGTGGTCAGCGCCAGCAACAGCAGCGCACTCGTGAGACCCCGCCACCCCAGCAGCTTCGTGAGTGGTACGCTGCGCGTCAGCGGGGTGGGGGTGCTGGTCCTTGTGCCTACGTCTTGCGTACCGGCGACCGCACTGGTGAGCCGTGCGGTGGACCACACACCACCCAGCGCTGCTTCGGCCGCTTGACGGACGCTTGGCGTCTCCAGTTCCCTGACGCCACTGAGATCCCCCGCTGGGGCGAGCTGCTTAGGTTGGGGGTTGCTATCTTTGATCTGGATTATGATGAAATTCTTGCTGCCATATATGTTGTGTCTACTAGTGATGAGGGTGACTGTTACCTGTGTGTTCCGCCTGACCCGGGCATTGAGGCTGTTGCTCTAGGTGCTGGTGAGGCTGCTGCTCTAGGTGCTAGTGCGTCTGCTGCCCCAGGTGCTGGTGAGTCCGCTCTCTCAGGTACCACGTCGGTCAGGCCTTACACACCTTCACCCTTGACTCGGGTGCTTCCCGCTCCTTCTTTCGAGACCGCACCACGCTTACGCCGCTTAGTCGGCCAGTTACAGTCTCCCTGGCGGACTCCTCTGGGGGTCCTATGTCAGATTCAGAAACGAGAATCAATGACTAGAATGAGTGTTGGGTACAAATAGGTCAAACCTAACCCTAGAAATGTGTACCCACTATAGGCTAACCCACTGTAGCCTAAACAAGCACATCATACAATGTTTGACACACCCCCATAGGCAAAGTGGGGGAGAACAAGGGGTCACAAGACCAGTCAAAGCAAAACAAAGCTCAGGGTGGATCTCAAGGATACCACACAAGTTCCGAGCACAAGCAAGCGGTCACAAGACCAGTTCACATGCAGATTTATAAAAGAACAAGAGATACAGTAATCACAACCTAGCAAGAGTAAGCATGCAGGTATATATATGTAGAGATCACTGTACAAGCAAAGTCAAGAAGTGAGCAAATGAGGGACAGTAGGCACGAGGCCTAGAACAGTACAGAAGCGCTGATGGTCACAAGGCTGAAGCGCCTTGGTGAACACGTCAGCAGTGTTGGCCCGAGTGGCCACGTAACGCAGACAAAGCTGACCTCGCTGCTGCAGCTCTCGAGCAAGAAAGTAGCGCAGAGCAATGTGCTTCGTCCTGTGCTCCAGTCTGTGCTCCCCACACAAGGCAATGGTGGCCTTGTTGTCGACGTACAGCACTGGAGGAGAACGAGGCTGCTCTCCAAGGTCAGTCAGCAGGTAGGTGAGCCAGCAAAGCTCCTGGGCAGCCATGGCTGTGGCGTAGATCTCAGCCTCACAGCTGGAGCTGAGAACAGAAGAAGAGCGAGTAGAACGCCAAGAGACAGAGCCAGAGCCAAGACTGAAGGTGTAACCCTGGGACGACCGCTGAGTAGCCTGGTCGTCTGCCCAGGAAGCGTCTGAGTGCCCAGTGAGAATAGGCCAGTCTCGCCCTCCAAGCACTAGCCCCATGCCCGACGTACTGCACAAGTAGCGCAACACCCTCTTAGCTGCATCCATGTGCTCCTTCCGGTGACGGCCGGGAGCGACATAGCGTGCTAAGATGCTGAGAGGGTATGCAAGGTCAGGTCGAGTGCAGGTCATCAGGTACATGAGGCAGCCCACAAGCTCTGGATACGGACCACTCGGCTCTACGGACTCATCCGAAGGCAGAGCTGAGAGCGAGTGTCCCGTAGGCAGAGGAGTGGACTGAGGCGAGGAGTACGTGAACCCGAAGCGCTGAAGGACCTGCTGCACCATGTGTGACTGAGTCAAGGTGATGGTGCGCCGTGCTCTGTCCCGGGTGATCCGCAAGCCAAGATAGCTTGTCAGTTCACCCAGGTCTGTGCACGTGTGTCTCTTCTGCAGCTCGGACTTCACGTGAGCGAGACCAACTGTGTCAGAAGTGGCAAAGACCAAGTCGTCGACGTACACAAGGATGTAGAACGGCGGCAGCGAGGGGTCGGTGCGTAGAAACAGCGACGGGTCAGCAGTAGAAGGAGCGAACCCAAGAGCCGCAAGTGTAGTCCTCAGTGTGTCGTGCCACTCACGTGGCGCCTGGCGGAGACCGTAGACTGGCCGCAGGAGGCTCCACTGGGTACCAGGAGGGAACGACCCAGTGAATCAAGGTGGGCGGCGCAGCCAGATCTCCTCGTGCAGGCTGCCCTGCAAGAAAGCTGTGCTGAAGTCTAGAGAGTGGAGCTCGTAGTCACGCTGAGCGGCGACGTGTAGCAGAACCCGAAGAGTGGTCATCTTCGGGGTCAGGGAGAAGGTCTGGAAGAAGTCAACTCCCTCTCGCTGACTGAAGCCTCGTGCAACGTAACGCGCCTTGAAGACAGGCGGAGAGCCCGGCGGCCGCTTCACCCTGAAAATCCACATGCCACTGACGATGTTCGCCCCAGGTGGGGGAACCTCGTCGACGTAGGTGCCAGTGGACTTCCAGGAAGCCATCTCTGTGTCCATGGCTGACTGCCACTGAGAGGAGTAGGGACCGGCCATCGCCTCTGCGTAAGAGCGTGGGGTCGGGATGTCTGGTGCATCCGGGTCTCCCTCAGGGGCAACGAGCATGGACACGAGATGGGGCAAAGCAGCGGCAAGGCAACCAACCTCCTCCTGCCTGTCCTCAAGAACGTCCGTGCCAAGAGCACACTCACCCCCGACGGACGGAGGACAGACAGACTCAGACTCAGCAACAAGACTCGCAGCGTAGTCTAGACGACACGCAGCTGCAAAGTCGACAAGCTCAGTGACTAAGGCAGACGCAGCAGCGGACTCAAAGGAAGGGTCAGTGACAACCGTAGCGAGGAGACGTGTGACAGTAGGACTGGCAGCGCGAAGGGTGTCTGACTCCGGGTCAGCAAGCGCAGGAAGAGAGGACGCAGGAGGCGACGGGAGAGCGACACGCTGCGGAGCAGTGGACTGACGAAGCGCCATCTGGTGAGTGCCTGGGACAGCAGGAGGACGCTGACGTTGGACACGACTAGCAGTGGTAGAAACACGAACAGGCGACGCTCGACGAGACGCAGGGGACACAGGACGTGAAGCAGGCTCACGTCTCTCAGCTAGACCTCCAGTCGGACCAGTGTACGGAGTAGGCACAGGGAGTGGGGAGGCAGTCGGTAACTGTGGCTGTGACTGGACAGACGGAGGACACTCTAAGGCGAGAGGAGGACACTGACTAAGAACCTGCTGAAGGAGCGGAACGAAGTACGGCCGTGGCCGTGCAGCAACTCTCGAACCAACAGAAGCTCCAGCGGCAGGGTCCTCAGCACCAGCAGAAGCTCCACCCTCCGGGTCCTCCACTCCAGCAGCAGCAGCAGCACCTCCAGCAGCAGCACCACCAGCAGCAGCAGCACCTCCAGCACCAGGGTCCTCAGTACGAGCAGCACCTCCAGCAGCACCGCCAGCAGCAGCAACACCTCCAGCACCAGGGTCCGCAGCACCCGCAACAGCGTCAACTCCGGGGACCCCAGCACCAGCAGCTCCACTCCGGAGACTGATGTGCCGAGCGTACCACTCTCGAAGCTGTGGGGAAGAGGGCGGCTCCCGCCGTGGTGGGGAAACACGAGTACCAACTCCAGTAGCACCACGAGCCCGAGACGCACCCCGCCGGAGGCTGCAGTACCGTGAGTACCACTCACGGAGCTGCTGCGAAGAGGGAGGTCCTCCAGGCGCCTCACAGTCAACTGCAACACAACCAGGCTCAGTACCCCCAGACTCAGCAACGCCAGGCTCAGTACCCTCAGACCCAGCACCCCCAGGCTCAGCACCCCCAGTCTCAGTACCTCCAGACTCAGCACCCCCAGGCTCAGCACCCCCAGTCTCAACACCCCCAGGCTCAGCACCCCCAGGCTCCGCCCGCTCAGGCTCCGCACGCTCAGGCTCCGCACGCTCAGGCTCAGCACCTCTAGCAGGACGCGAGTCGACAGCTACCTCGGCAGGCTCAACCGGGTCTACCTGAGAGACACCTGAGGGAGCGGCACCCTGAGGGGGGAGGGGGTCTACCACTGCAGCACCTGGCGCGAGGAAGAGAGGCGGGGGAGGGAGCGGGGCAGTGCGGTAGGGGAAGAGGCGGTAGAAGGGCACGGACTCGTTAAAAGTGACGTCCTGAGAGAGGAAGACGCGGTGCGAGGCGGGGTGGTAAAACTGCCAGCCAGACGCATCCGGGGCAAAGCCAAGAAAGACACAGGGAGCAGTGCGGGAGGAGAGCTTGTCCGCAGACGTGTCGCGAACAAAAGCTCGGGATCCCCAGACACGGAAGCGTGACGCATCGCCAACCTCCCCCGTCCACAGCAGTGTGGGCGAGGTCTCCGGAGCGGAGACACGGGGCCAGAGGTTGAGCTGATGCGCAGCGTACCGGACCGCAAACGGCCACAGAAAGTGGGGGGCAGCCGCGTGGACTAAGGAGGTACGAGCGACCTCCATGACCAAGCCAATGCGGCGCTCAGCAACCCCATTCTGCTGTGGAGAGGCCGGAAGCGTGAACGACTGGCGAATGCCGTGCTCAGCACAGTAGGCTGCCAAGAGGTCGGAGGAGAACTCGCCACCTCTGTCAGAGTGCAAGCGCAGGACAGGAAACTCCGAGCGAAAACGCTCTCGAAGCTGAAGACGCGCTCTGCTGATCCAAGGGATCAGGACATCAGGGACTTCACCCTTGGTGCGCAAGGGGAAGACCGTGGTGTAGCGCGAGTAGTCGTCAACGACGATCAAGAAGTACCTCTCCTGGCCCTGACCACGGACGCGGGCTGGGCCCCACACGTCCATGTGGAGCGTCTGCAAAGGAGCAGTCGTCGGGGGGAACGAGGAGGAGTGAGGGGCAGCGCGCTGCCGCCCCTCGACACAGGGAAGACAAGGAGGAGCAAGGGAGGGTGGGAGGGGAGGGAGTACCCGAGGAAGACCAGAGACAAGGTACCGGGCGTGCATGCCCCGAAGGCGTTGCACTGACGGGTGACCAAGTCGGTGGTGCCAGAGGACAGTCTTGTGCGCTAGAGAGCGACACGAGCAGGGGGCAGACAGCTGACCTGACGCAGACGCAGACGCAGACGCCGCTACCTGAGGGGACTCAGTGGTCAGTGTGTACAGGTCCGACCCCGGCTGCCGAGTGAAGGTAGCCAGGTGACGGCCCGTCCGAGCACACGTGCAGTGTGTCACGCGCTCGTAGGCAGGGGTGAACTGGTGAACACCCCCATCCTGAAGCGCACAACCCGCCACCAAGTTCGTAGAGAACGAGGGGAGATGAAGACCTGACAGTGTGCCCGACGGGACAGCAGGACAAGGAAGGAGGGTGGAGGAGGTCGCAATAACCGGACCCCCAGAGGGGTCAGCGAGCGAGACTGCGACTGGTCGAGCAAGGGGCTCAA